CATGACTTCTCATATACTCGATGACGCAGATGTGTGCGTTTACATGCGTCAGTTTGCGTGCACTTTGCAGGAATAGGTGTCTTTATCGGTAGGTGATGATTGCTCTTTGCCCCTCCTTAATAAATCAGATATTTTACCTATATAAAAAAAAACAGACTGGGAATAAAACTTAATTAAATTAATTTGCAAGGATGGTGTATTGTAATAATGATTGGATATTTTAGGGACAAATATGAGAGTTGAGTTGTGTACATTTTTTGGTAACATTATTATTAGGGTTTGTGAATATCCATTCACCACATTTGATTACTTTTATACCCTATGACGCAGATGTATGCGTTTAAATGCATCAGTTTGCGTGCACTTTGCAGGGGGGTGCAGGGGTAGGCGTCTTTACTGGTAGGTGATGATTGCTCTTTGCCCCTCCTTATTAAATCAGATATTTTACCTATTAAAAAAAAACAGACTGGGAATACAACTTTAATTAAATGAGTTTGCAGGGATGGTGTATTGTAATAATGATTGGATATTTTAGGGAAAAATGTGAGAGGAAACATGTTTACAACTGGGGTGGACTGACAACTCATGGGGCCCCCGGGCAATAGGGGATCATGGGGCCCCTGTGTCCTTGCCCAAACTCAAAAAAGCCTATGAAAAAGGTACCAGGGGCATCTCATGGGGCCCCCTACTGACCCCGGGCCCTTGGGCAGTGCCTGAGTTTCCAAATGGTCAGTCCGCCCCTGGTTTACAATTTTTTGCAACATTATTATTAGGGTTTGTGAACATCCATTCAGCATACTTAATTACTCGTATACCCTATGACGCAGATGTGTGCGTTTGCATGCATTGATTTGCGTGCGCTTTGCAGGGGGTGCAGGAATAGGTGTCTTCATAGGTAGGTAATTATCGTTCTTTGCCCCTCAGATATTTTACCTATTACAAAAACAGACTGGAAATAAGACTTTAATTAAAGGAATTTGCAGGGATGGTGTATTGTAATAATGATTGGATATTTGGGGGAAAAATGTGAGAGGAGACATGTTTAAATTTTTTGGCAACATTATTATTAGGGTTTGTGAACATCCATTCACCACACTTAATTACTCTTATACGCTGTGATGCAGATGTGTGCGATTGCATGCATCTGTTTGCGTGTGCTTTGGAGGGGATGAAGGAGTAGGTATCTTCATAGGTAGGTGATTATTGTTCTTTGCACCTCTTTATTAAATCAGATATTTTTATTATTATTATTATTATTATTATTACACAGTATTTATATAGCGCCAACAGTTTGCTCAGCGCTCTACATTACAATGGGAGACAATACATGAGACAATACAGTAACAATACAATAAAATACACGAGGGGTTCGAGGGCCTGGTTAAAAAAAAATAGATAGACTGGTAAAAAGACTTCAATTAAAGGAATTTGCAGGGATGGTGTATTGTAATGATTGGATATTTGGGAGAAAAATGTGAGAGGTGACATGTTTGCATTGTTGGGTGGCAGCGTTAATATTAGGGTTTGTTCATATCTGCTCACTATGCTTGTGCACCACATGCACGCCATGACTACTCCATGGCTACATTCACATTGGTGTAAAAATGTTACTGATCTTATCATGCATGTTGTTTTCTAGCACCGAAGTTCCTTCATAATGATCAGTAAATACCTTTTTTTGTTATACCTGCATCTGGCATACGTGTATGAGTATGTCCTCAGACGCAGATTGTTGGATTTCGTGTTATGGATCTGAGTGCAGTGCATGCTTACGCATCGGTGTGAATGTCCCCCAATGTTTTTTTACTAAAAAGATAGCTGAATACATTTTGGCCAAGATTTATGAAGGAAGATTTTTATATATATATATATATATATATATATATATATATATACACACACACATGGTATATAAAGTTTATACAGTTACAGGAGCTTTGCAACATTCCATTGTGTTTGACCTCTATTCTTTTTATTGGAATATTGATTTTTATAACGTTTTATGCTTGGGTATTATTATATACATATCGGTTGCTCTGTGTTTTTAACCTTTATCACATGGATGTAGACCAGAGGTTTTCACTCCAGTTAGGGTGAAACTTCAAATCCCATAATTCGTTTACCTCTGGGTGTCATGCTTGTCACTGTCAGAGTCCTGCAATGTATCATGGGACTTGTAGTTCTACAACAGCTGGAGTGCTGAAGTTTGTCTACCACTGATGTACACAATCAATGTAAATGTTTACTTTTCACCATGAACCTTGACTGAGATTAGAAAATACAATGAAGCTGTGTTCACTTTAGATTCTAAATCATGTGCAAAGAGAAATTAAAAAAAAAAAAAGATTTTTTAAATGAATGGATGATGGAAATGAACACAGCTTCACCAAATTTGCTAGCATAGTGCACCTTCACTTTTCTAAGTTAACAGTCTCTACTCCTATAATAAATCAGATCATGACTTTTCATGAACTGTTTTCAAGGAGTGTGTTTATGGCAAGCCCATCATCAATGCAGAATAGACATTTCGAAAGAATTTCACCATCATCGCTGTATCGCACGGCTGCCCAAAAAGGCTGATTTACTAAAGGCGTTGAGAATATTCACTCAATATATTGAATGAAGATTCACTTCAATTTGTCTATTATGTGAAAAGCAAAGTCTTGTTTAACTGTATTGTCTCCTGTAATTTAGTAAGGTGCTGCACAAACTGTTGGCACTATATTTATTATTTAAATCCTGTATAATAATAATAATAATAATTTATCACAGATACTTACATAGCGCTCTCATTTTATGCAGCATTTTACATATACATTCACATCAGTCCCTGCCCTCAAGGAGCTTACAATCTAATGTCCCTAGCTCACATTCATATATACTCATACTAGGGCCCATTTAGACAGGTGTCAATTAAACTACCAGCATGGCATTGGAGGGTGGGAGGAAACCGGAGTATCCAGAGTAATCCCGCACAGGCACATGGAGAACATGCAAACTGCAAGCAGGTAGTGCTGTGACTGGGATTCTCACAGACGACCCTGGAGCTGACAGGCTGAAGTGCTAACCACTTAGCCACTGTGCTGCCTAATAAATAAATCTTGTATGATAATTATAATTATATCCAAACCTCATTGGGTATGTAAAGTGAACGTTGCTCAAATTAATTGAATTGAGATTCTCAGTTCCTTTAGTAAATCGGTCTCAAAATGTGTACAGACTCCTTATTTGTGAACCATGTGCCTATTTTCCAGTTCTACTCCGAATTACTGTCTATACACAGTTTTTTTTTAGCGTTACAGCAGCTAATACCACTCTTTGTTTTGTGTATAAATGTGTTTTCTCTCATTCATCTTTGCATCATGTCTGACAAGGAAATCTAGAAAACCTGCATTTTAAATCCTTTTCCAGGACGTGGTGTAACTTTCACGCCAACCTGTCTGCTTTCATGCATGGCTAAATGCTACAAGAGCCTGCTGCCTACGCACTCACTAAAATGCACATCACATAGATTCATTTTGCTTCAATATGTTTCTTTAGGTTAAAAATGTATTATAATTGACTTGTAACATACATCAGGTATAACTGGGATTTAAAAAAAAGGTAAACTGTTTATGTCTGAGTACATATTGGTAAAAATCCTATATTTTTGGTTCATCTTTAGCTGAAAGGTGGTAAAGTATATATTCAGGGCTGCATTACAACCAATAGCTGATAGCTGAACACACACACACAGATGGGAATGTAGGTATGTGTAAACATTTCTATATTTGGGCAGATTTACTAAAGGAGTTGAGAGTCTTCACTCAATAAATTGTGTGAATGTTCACTTCAATTATCAGATCGGGGTGAATAGCAAATTCCTGTGTATTCATTTCATCTGCACATCATTGGGTATTAACATAGCTGGATGCTGAAGTGAATAGTCTCACAGTTTATTAAATGAAAATTCAGAACTTCAGCTTCAGAGTCTCATAGTATGTGGGATTCTGCAAATGTCATAGATTGCAAAAAAAAACAAAAAAAAAAAACAGGAAAAGGTATACATAGGTGTTGATTTACTAAAACTGGAGAGTGCAAAATCTGGTGCATCTGTACAGGGGCGGACTGACAATTTGGAAACTCGGGCACTGCCCGAGGGCCCGGGGTCAGTAGGGGGCCCCATGAGATGCCCCTGGTACCTTTTTCATAGGCTTTTTTGAGTTTGGGCAAGGACACAGGGGCCCCATGATCCACTATTGCCCGGGGGGCCCCATGAGTTATCAGTCCGCCCCTGCATCTGTACATGGTAGCCAATCAGCTCTAACAAGCAGGGCCCTCTGTTTCCTCTTGTACCAAATTGTATTGTAATTGTTATGTCTACCTTCATTTTGTAAAGCGCTGAGCAAACTGTTGGCGCTTTATAAATCCTGTATAATAATAATTATGCTTTGACAAAAAACCTAGAAACTGATTGGTTTCTATGCAGAGCTGCTCCAGTTTTAGTAAATCAACCCCATAGTCTTCTTCAAAGAGCTTGATGTAGGCATATAAAAAGAGAAAAACAATCAAAACAAAACACCAAAATAAATTAATGTTAATAATCTAGGTTTTGGCCCATTTACGGTGTCACAGTATAAGCAGAATAAAAGAGGCAAAAAATTGTATACTGCATAGAGTTTGTGCGTGACATTTATATGTATTATATTTCCAGGTATAGTCGTTCCATAGCATACAGTTTGCTCCTATTTTATACACATGCTGTTCCTATTAGCTGTATTAGTCATAGGGACATTTTTTTACTCTAGGTTGCAGATCCTAAAAACATGCACAGTGATTCATTTTTATTAGCTATGGAAAAAGAAGACAAAAAAAAAGAATTTTTATTATTTTTATTGTTTTATTGGAGTTTGTGACTTGCCTAGGTGAGCCCTGTTATAGGGGATACCACATCAGCTAAAAGCAGCATAGACTTGCCTCTCTACATAGGAATGTATTGGTAACACTTGTCTTTTTCGCCCCAGTCAGCGACACGTCACCCTACCACAGCCCCAAGGTGGAAGAATGGAGCAGTCTAAGTAGGAACAGTTTCCAGTCTTCCCAGCATATGATCAACGGGTTGGACAAAGGTTCCCTGGAACAAGAAGTCAAGTACAGCCAGGTAAAGGGGGTGAGAGATAATTATCGGGGAGTGGGAGTCATAAGAAGCTATTAGAGCTCATTCACATTACATTATTGTGCATATAATGCATGTATGCCGGTGTGCAATGTGAATGTACACTGCCATGGGCTGCAATACATTGATAAAACACATTGCAATACTTGCTTTTTTTCATTGTGATTCCATGTGCTGCAGTGCGTCGCAATACATAAATAACATCTGAACGTGCCGCACAAAAATGCAATGTCATATTTTTTCAGTGTAATTGTGAACTGAAACCATAGGACGTAAGACCAATTCACTTGTTCTTGTGTTGGGACAGTTTTGGGGCAATGCTGCCCAATGTAACCCAATGCTGCTGGTGTGAATGAGCCCTAATACTTGTTTATTAATGGCTACATCTAAACTAAGCATGGCTACATCTATTAGATGAATGCTCACTGATGACATCTTCTTGATGGAATGCTTTTTGCAGCCAGTGAGATTGCTTGTAATAAATGACAAAGAGAAGTACTGTCTCTGATACTATTTTTTGCACTTAGCTATATTTTTTAAAACAAGCTTTTAGGGGGCTATCCCCTTCTTATACCGTTGAACAGTACTGCTTAGACTTTTGAAGAAGGGGGTAGACCCCCCAAAAGAAAAAAGACTGTGCTAATTAAAAAATAATCATGGGCAGTACTCAACTGTGCTGTTGCAAATGCACTAATACAACCACAATGACTTTACACTTGTAATAAAAGATGACATTATTTACTAGTATAATGTATAGTCCTGCATTGCACAAAGATATAGAAATGGCCAATCTGATTGCATGGTCATCTATAGATTTGTTAACATTTATGTAGTATAGGAACGTATGCAACTGGATATAACTGAAGCAGACTGGGGTCTATTTACTAAATGTGTAGCGTCTTTTTTCAGAAATTAAAGGACCTAATAAAACTATCTTGTATATCAAAAAACATAGTTGCACCAACTGGCCATACATTATACAGTTTTCTTATTAAATTTCCTCTAGATTTACCATCAACTATGTAGTGTAAAAGCCTGTCTGAGTGTTTGTGTATGACTTCATATTAAATGGTTTTGGTAAATCTAAAGGAAACAAGAAAATTGTATAATGTATGGCTCACTTTTGTTGGTGAACAGTCTCAACTCCTTTAGTAAATCAAGCCCATTGTTTAGATAGGTCCCTATACCACATAGCTGTTAGTAAATCTATTGGAGAAAAAAAACGTGTGGCCAGTTTTAGGAAGCCAGAGAATATACCATTTGAATGGTATATTTTCTACACAAATGGTCTCCCATACATATAATCTTTCACACCAGAAATGGCCTTGATTCTCTCTATGATAAAGATAATTTGTCACAAATACACCTGTCATGGGGGTAGATAAGATTGAAATTGTGTTTCTTTGTACAGGAATGGCACATGGTTATTGTTATTCATGCTAGTTGTTATCAGAAAAAAAAAACAATTAACCTAAAGATGGAAAAAATAGACTCACAAAAAGACTGAAAATGAATGCAAAACTCCAGCTCCATTTTTATCTATGACAGCCATTTATAAAAGATCTTTTGTATGAATGCTCTGTCCTTTAGTCTAAATCACTTGTGTCTTATAGGCACCCTATGGTGATAATAGTAGTGCTTCTGCTAGTATATCAAAATATGGACAAGGTTAATTAAAAAACAAAAACACAAGAAAAACTAGAGCAAAAAGTAGACCTGTGGTCCATTTTCATTTTGTGTCCTCTGGAAAGATGAAAGAAAGGAATTTGACTAGTAGCTCTATGAGGCTCTGATATTTACAGCAGGTTTCTTTGTTCTAGTTCTCAAAATTTAGGAAGTGTATCATGTCAACATGCCCAATTGAAACTGAGAAGTACAGTAAAATGAAAGTATAAAATGAACAATATAATAGAAGTAGTCCTAAGCACAGAGATTAAGGATCTTTGTGGCTATGGAAGGATAGAGATCAGCTACCTCTGTATAGGAAAATATTTTTCAATATGGATTTGATGCTTACAGTAGCTAGTATGACATAAATGGAAGTAGAAATAAACCATAGAACCCAACTCTGCAGGGACTTTCTGAGCTAGAATTGGCAACAGGATGAGATGCACATGTTATTTGATAGCTGGTCAGCATTAAAAATTCTTGATATCATGCTGATCCAGGAAAAAAACTTTGTGTCTTGTTTCCTTCTCTGTTGATCAGGAATATTCTTGAGAATGCTTCGTTAATGGACAAGTGTCCCTGCTTTAGGTTCTAATATGAACAATATTAATAAATGATTGCTGCTAATAAATACTCATATAATAAGCGCACAAAAAGCCCCTATTATATGTTAAATAGTTACAACTCATGAAAGAGGAGAAACAGCTGAATAACAGCTCAACGTAGCATTCAATATACCACTCCCAATACTTCTTTATACCCTAAGGGGCAGTTCACACTACAAGCGTTTCCGTTGCATTTTTTCTGTATCCAAAATGCACAGAAAGTAGGTTATATGGTTGTCAATGTCATAGTTCACATCAGTGCTTGCAGCTCCAGTGCATTCTGGATGCAGAAAAAAAAAGTAGGACGGGGCTGCATTTTTTCTGCACTGAACTGTACTGGAACAAGGTAATACACATAAAAAATGCACCAAAATGCACCAAATGCATCAAAAACGCACTGTACCACACATGTCCCTATTTAAATTGAAGAAAATAGGGGGAAAAATGAACTGGAATGTATAAAAAAATGTACTGGAACTCATCAAAAATCACCGGAACATGCCAGAAACGCGTAAAAAATCTGCATGCAAAAACACATCCTGAATGCATCTGGACTGCGTTTCTATAGTGTGAACCGGCCCTAAATTACTAAATACTCGTGGGAGCAAATTGCTATTCTTGGTGCCAACATTTGGACCTAGAATTTTCTGTGAGCCATATTGGGTTAGGTGCAAGTAGGTTTCTAAATGATATCTGCAGAATTGCTGGTGTGGTATGAGCCTTTAGGTAATATTACTGTATTAGCTGAATAATAGACAAGCTGTAAATCTTAAGGCTCCAGGCACACTGGCTTAAAAAAAATACCAGTGGTCTTGGCAGAAAAAATGCTATTTTTCAGCAATTTTTGAATTAATGTCCAGGAACGATTAGGAGTTTTTAGCATTTTTTTTCTGCCAGAAAAACACTTTCAAAATCGCAAAACAGAAGGGTTTTTTTCTGTCTCTAAATGCTGAGCTTAAATGCCTCTAGACTACCTAATGTGCATGGACACATACAGTAGGTTAACATTAGTTGTTTCTACAGGCAAAACGCTAAACATTTTTTTTTAAGCCAATGTGCATGGAGTCTTAAGGATTATGTTAATGTACTAAAGAGTTAAATTTAATTGTTGTCTTTGGGTTAAAGTTAGGTTTAGGGGTTAGGCCAAGGTTAAAAATGAAGTTTAGTGGTTATGGAAAGGTTTGGGAATTAAATTATACTTATTAGTTTGATGGGTCAGAAGTTTTAGTAAGCTTAATAATTAGGTTTGAAGGTTTAGCATTAAATTTGAGATGTCTGTGTTCACGTTAAGGGTTAACTGAAATATTTCCAATGCACACGAAACTGGAATTGGCTTTAAGGTGTCGGTGGGTGCTGTGGCAACCATTGACTGGAAACCGCAGACATTCAAACCTTAAAATATGTCACCGGCACACCAAGCATTCTCCAAAACTTTATTCAGTGGTCACATGGTAGGAAAGAAAAGAGGAGAGGCGCCTTCTAAGTGCAGTACAAAAAAGCGATTTTAATCAGCCACAAATAAAAAAAAACTCACAAAATTGGGTTGATAAATGAGCCCATCAATGTAATTTGCTGTAAAGCTGTCATCCGTGTCCTGCAAGGGTTCGTACGGTGGAGTAATGGCCGCCATAAGTGGTGGAGGGGGTCCAGAACGCTGTGGTTAATCAAGAGTTCCGGGGACTGTCCCCTGACCGGAACTGGAGGTGACTGTGACCAGCGTGAACTGCAAGCCGGGAGGACGTGACATCACACAAGAGGAAATACGGCAATGGAGGAAAGAGGCTACGCACTTGGAGCTAACCGCTCCTTCTAGAGGCCTTTTTCCTACCATGTACATAGAGTTGGCTCACTCTGGGATGGCTGCCACCTAAAAGCGGTTATACAGTTCCGGACTTTCTTGGGACTTATGGACTCTCTGTATGTTTGTTCTAACAGTCACTGGAGATAAGCCATCAGTGCGTTGAGAGTTCTTTACAATATTCAGCGGTCACAGCATATTAACAAAGGCAATGTTTCGGAGCCGCACAGGGCCCCTTTGTCAGAAAGTTAAAAGTTACATTTCATGATCTGGTAGAAGCTTGGGAATTAGGTTACGGCTATTGGTTTAAAGGGTTTAGGAGTTTTGGTTAAGGATATTAATTAGGTTTATTGGTTAACGAGTTGGGTTAGATTTGAGCTGCTGTGTTCATGTTAAGGGTTAGGTTTATAGGTTTGGTCAACTTTAATATTTAGGTTTAGGTGGTTCATTTGAAGTTTAGGATTAGATTTGAGTTTAGATAATGTTTGCATGGAAGGAGTTAGGTTTAAGGTAATAGTAGGCTACTTATGTTAAGAATTTATGTTCGATAGATAATGAATTGTTTCAGGTATAACCAATTTTTTTCTGGACTTCTCACAGTGCTTTTCAGCTGTAGAATGTATTTGCCAAAAAGTTATCACTTTGAGTTTATGAGGCCTGAGTACCCACCACCGTATCTAGGCCACCTCCCTTTTATGTACTGTAGGTTGCCTCCATACTCAAATGACTGTATAATTACCTGTTCATTGTACAGAATTTGGAAATATATCAGAGCTTCCTACATATAAATAATAGGGGATTTCCAGCAATAATACGGGTGAAAAGCACAGGACTCCTGATACTTCCCAAAATACCCCACAAATGATAATAGTATTCCCCAGTTCGGACTAAGTATAATATCCCCAAGATTTATTGACAGACTGACAAATAAGGGCAAATAAAGGGAAATATAGATGAGATTACCATTT